GCTTAGCATAAGTTGTTGGTGCACATAGGTGAGCCTAGTTGTTTTAGGTTTTGTGCTTGACAAATTAACCGCTAGGTTTATTCCGCATTTGTTCAAGCCTAAATCGTAATTATTTTAAAACGCCTATTCACCCCCCCCCTCTAGGCGACATCCACGATCTTTCAGTCGCCCTGCGCCAGGCCCCTCTAGATGTACCCCACGACCCAGACGAGTGCCTAGAGCCCTGAGACGGCGAGCGTGCCAGCGGCAGCGAGCCCTGCGACGACCAGCGTGACCCCCAGCGTAGCGAGCATGAGCACCGAACTGAAGAGAAGAACGAGAGGCGCCGCGAGCGTGACTCCGGCGAGCGTGGTCAGCAGGAAGAGGCTGGAAAGGCCCAGTAGCGCTTGCCGAGCGGGATGAGGAGCATGGCCGCGACCAGCACGGGTCACTGAAGAGCGCGGACCCCAAGCTCAGCCCCTCCATGCGTCGCAGCGGCTGGTACTGCTGCCGCTTCCCATCGTGTTGCTGGTGCGCGCGCTGATGCCGTCGTGGCCATGGTGAGCTCAGGCAATGAAGGTCGAGGAAGACGATGATAAGGCTTTGATCTGGCGAGCAGAGGCGGGGACGTGCGGGGCGGCGGCGGCCCTGACGGGTGGGGCGGCTTCCCAGATGAGCAGGGCAGCGGCCGGGGGCGGACGTGTGGGGCGGCTTCCCGAATGAGCAGGGCGGTGGCCGGGGACGGCCGGGGCGGCGGCCGGGAGCTAGCCATGAAGGTTCCGATGGCAGTTGGACTCCTACCAATGGTCTTTCGCATATACAGAACCCTCGGGTTGGCTCTGAAATCCTTATTTTCACAGGTTCGGTGGCGATGTTTACCACGCCCCTTAAAAAGAATTACAGGTCGCAGTCGTTTACGGGTTCTATTCGGGTCGCTTTTTTCGCCTAAGACTATAAATCTGTGGTTATTTTACAGTTTGGTATGTTTTAAGGGGTCTGCTAGCGATGCTTTTATAGCTCTATTTTTCATTTTCCTTTGTCTGACGAGTCAGACCCATAAGTCACTGGCTCGATGTTTTATTTTATATATTTTCCTTTTGACGAGAAAGCGTTTCATTCGCTTTCACTAGTAGAAAAAGGGCCTTCAGTCTCGGTTCATAAGGGCCTTTAGTCCCGGTTAGTCCCGGTTCAATCCAGAACCGGGACTAAACGGCGCGGCCACGTGGAGCTCCACCTTTAGTCCCGGTTGGTAACACCAACCGGGACTAAAAAAAAATTTATGTTTTTTTTTGAAAAAAAAATTGAATTTTTTTATTTTCAAATTTCTGAATTATTTTAACCTCTAGTCTGTAATCACCACCCCTCATCACTTCTCAATTTATCCTCTAATCACCCCTCATCATTCCAAATCATCTAACTTCCCGAACGGTCACCCATCCTTCCCTCAGCCTAAGCACGCTTAACTTCCGGGTTCTATTCTCCCTCGCTCCAAGTCTGCACTTGTTGTTTTCCTGACAATACTAAGATGTCAATCCTATTAACCTTCAGGAATTTTGCTTGAGCATGAAGTGACACATTTCATAGTTTTATTTTGAAACTATTGTTTTAAAAAACAATAATTATTTAGTAATACTAATATTTCTTGAATAATTAGTTTGAGCATTGTTTGACCACATTTTGACCATAGTTTGACCAGATTTGAAATAACTGAAATAATTATTTAGTAACACTAATATTCTAGAATAATTAGTTTGACCATTGTTTGACCATAGTTTGCCCAATGTTTGAATTTTTTTCGATTTTTTCACTCTAGATCTTAAAAGCCCCGTAACTTTTTTTCTATTAGGTTTTTGAGGATTTTGAAAATGTTTAACGAGGTTCCCCGGTTAAATTCGGATGTAACTTTTCGAGTAGATGATTTTTCATATAAAAAACTTTTTTATCCGAGTTAGTATGCAAAAGTTATGCCCATTTTTACAAATTTCAGAGAGATTTTGCAAATAAAGTCAAAATTCACATTTGCAAATTTTCCCAACAACTAGACCACATATCACATGGAAAACTTATTTTCTTTTATTTTTTTGACATTTCCATCATTTCCTTTTATTTTTTTT